AAACTTGACCAGTACAGAAATTCCCAGTGTGACTAGCCTTTTGCCTTTATCACCTTTCACTCTCATTTTACTTTAAGAAGGAATTGTTCTTAGTAGCTGAAGAACCTCAGAAGGTTAGGTTAAATAAAAAGAACTGAAGGGAAGACTCAAAAGTTCTGGGGCCCATGTTTATTGTGAATGGGAAGTTAAAGGGCAGTAGCAAATGAGCATACAGGAATTTATATTAATCCAAGTCCAGGGTAAGAGGATGGGACTACATTGCAGTATAATAATTAATACCCATAACCTGGAGTGATAGCCCATGTTAATAAACACCTGTTAATCTACTATGAGCTTTTGGCTCCTGTGTTTATTTACTTCAGGATATTGTTTTTATGTCATAAATATGAAGCACACTTGTGTTACTATTTAAGCAGGGAAACAAGAATTTATTCTTCCCAAATATCTTAGGAAGCACAGAAATATAACGTAACTAATACTTATTCCGGATTGTATCTGTAAATATAGTAGTTTTCATCACTACCAGCATGTTTTGATGCTGATCAGATTAACAGCATGTTTTGAGATTATGAAGTTGCTTGATTTAATTGCTAAACAAAAATTATACTGTATATCAGTTTAGCAAAACATTAGTTTCTGTTCAGTAGGTAGAGAAAGGTTGATATTGTTTATCAGAAACTTAGATGAGGAGGAATTTCTGCACTATAGTTTTGTTTGTTGCTCCTAAATCTTCACGTGCTTGGCATTTGCACAAGTATGCCTTATCTCCTCTTCCCCAATTTAATGTGAATGGTGATCTCTTCTCTGAGAGTTTTTAGACCACAGAATCTACAGATTGAGAAGCCAATTCACGTGATCCAGCTGTTCTTTAATGGACAATGCATCTGGGATTATAACAGAAAAATTAACTTTCTAAGCAACTTTGAAGCAGTGCCTCAGATTTACAGGTGTCCAGTGTTTCTGAATTTGTGTTAAAAACTCACTTATGCTGTGAAACTACTTGTGAAAGGCTGAATTAAGGCAGTAAACGTGCTGCCAAATTCCTTTCTCACCACTGAGAAAGTGGGACCTAATGTCTTGGGGTCCTCTGATGACACAATGCAAATCCAGAAAACAAGACCTAGAGTTCTTGCCATGGTATTATACAAAGGAATACAATAAAATAGATAGGTAACCTGCCAAAAGTAATTATATGAGTTTTCAGCCATAGAAATAGTAAGCAAATACAAAACAGTAATAAATAGACAAATGTACTCATACAAACTATAACTGGACACATTCTAATGATAACACATTAGCCCTACAGGGCTAATGAATCTGGGCAATTCCCTCCCCAATAAAACGTTTTGAAACCCAACCACTGTAAGGGGACTTCCCCAACACGATATACACCCATAAGCACTGTTGGGACATGTTTACAGTGCTCCTCCTAGCACTGATGTGCTCAATAGTATGGATTCAACTCAGACATATCACTTCTAAGGACAGGATGAGAAAATGCCATTCCCAGTGAACCCATCTGGCTATGCAAGGCTTTACGCCAAGTGAAAGAACATGTGAAGATGACGACGAATGCCTGTCCCACATAAAGGGTATTCTGTTTTCAGAATTGTAAGTCTTAAAAATTAAGTCGTTAGTACCATATAACCTGAACATAAAAAACATGGCGCTGTAACAAATGACCTCACAGTACTGACAGTTATAGCGGGGCCATTTCAAGTCTGATGAAAAATTTCCTGGAGAGATCTCAGGTCAGATCTACATGAGTAAAACAGGAAACGATTGCCACTATCCACATTAAATCCAAAATGTTTTGTGTAACTTCATCTACATTTTATGTTGCTATACATCTCTTTATCATTCTCAACTGATGAAATTCCACACTTTCTTAGATTAGATAAATAAGTTCATGTTTCATGGTTTATTATTCTTGCTAAATTCTACTAGGCTTGCAGGGTTTAAATAATATTATTTTAAAAGACAATAAAAAGTTAGTTCCTTCAGTTTTGATTGTTTAAATTTTATGTACTTTGCACATTTTTATGTAACCTAGGGGTTTGTTATTGCTGTTTCCCAATAGACTACTAATGGAAGTTAGCCTGTCTAGCCCATGTGCTAGATGGTGTTAGTATAAAACTGTCTTTGACTTTCACACCTCTCAGGGGACGAGTAATTGTTGTGTTCAAACAGCCTGTAATTGTGATCCCGCTGGCTTTCTCAGTACGCTTCTGGCTATTAGAATCATTAAACAACTCAGCACCTGTTAACAGCATTGTAAATATTCAACCCTGCTTGTGTGCAGGTTGAGCCCAATATAGGAAAAGGCTTACAGAGCCCAGCCTCATAAATTAGAGCTTCTGACAAGTCAATTATTGTGAAACTGGGTTTCACAGTGAAATAAATGAAATGGTGTGCTGATAAAAAGATAGGCTGTCTGTTTATAGCAAAGGGAACATAATGACTAGATGATTCAATGCAGTGAGCATGAAACAGCATTGTTGTTTATTCTTTATCCTAATTAAATAGTTGGATAATATAGCTTCATAGCAGAACTGATGAAAAGTACAGTTTGTATACTGAACATACTAGTATGCAAATGGAGATTAGTATTTTATCCGCTGCACTCTTCAAAATATTGTGTAATCTCATTCATACAATCATTGTTCAAAACAAATAATGCTGCCTTTTCAGTTGAATGCCTATACTGTTTATGGGGATAAGCGTGCACTGAGTGACTGAGAAGTTCCCTTACATGTGGTTAATATTATATTTATTCTAATACAGATTCTAGTTAACAGATGTTAATGGTACTTCACTCAAGATCACAAATAATTTGAAGATACTCCTTTTCACAGATTTGCACTGGGCACTTAGAAGATTTTTCTTCCCTGTAACATTGCCAAAAGTGTAGACCTCGGCAAATTTAGAAAACTTCTAAAAAGATCTGCACAAATACTGTTTTATAGGGTTCTCAAAAGAAATCTGGGTGTCATGATTTCTGAAGCTGTGAAGAATAGCAAATTAGGCAAAAGAACGTATAAAACAGCAATAGTGACTAAGCTACAGTGAAGAATTTGGTAAGATTGAATACTAATATAGGGCCTGATCCTAAAAAAATAATTACATAGTGCTGCACGTAACTGCTCAGAAGAGAGGTTCAAAACACTGGTAGCTGCAGCATCTGTACTACTTTAACATATTTATGTTTATCACCAGTGGGGTAGCTGAATGGGTGATAGTAATGCTGGGAAATTTGAGGAAGAGTCCTAATGTTTCTAAAGCAAAAATGCGATTAAAAGAGCATCTTTATTTAACTGTTGCATCCATTTCAGTGTGCTATTTTTGAATGACTTTTTTTATTAAAATATAAGCACATCTAGTTACAGATTTGAGTTCACAGGAGCTCAGTGTGTCCCCTTTTTTCTTATGTCTTTGAATTATTGAACTTTTTCTATCTTAAAAATGTTTGAATTCTATTTCAAAATAGTGTTTAAACATTTAAAACCAAACTTCAAGAATATACTCATTTACTTTGCCAATTGTAGAGCCAATTCCTCACTTCATTTCCTGAGTGGTCATATGGGGCAATTTCATATGTCCTTATTCCAGTTTTATTCAGGTACAACTCCCATCAAAGTCACATTTGGTTTGTCTGTATAATAACCTGAGGTTTTGGCCCATCACAAAGTGTGTAGGAGTTGGTCCAAAATATTAATTAGCCTTTTATTATGCATAGTTATAGCAAAAGGTTCTAGCACATTTATAAATATCTTTCTTTAGTTCAAATAGCAAAAAAATAGTAATACTATATATATTACTATACAGTGTGATAAATGTACACTATGGTGTGTATTAAATAGTCCTATTGTAGAAAGCCTTTTTATTAATTTCAGTTTTGTGGAAATTAGGCTGGAAAATATAAAAACACTTCCTTCTCCATCATTTTACCCATTAAAAGAAACATATCCTTACCTGACTAATTAGTGCCTGTTTAAGCTTATAGCCACGTAAATTGGAAATCACTCCAGTTCACAAAATAAATTTTTTCATATTGCTTGATTTATCCTAAGCTGTTTAAAATGTTGTCTTTTCACATGTAGATATGAGCATTGTTTTAGCTATTCCCGGTCACCACATGCATCTTAAGATAAATTATTTTTGGTGGAGCTGGCCAGAAGAATAGAATGATTCTTGATAGCTTATGGGGAGAGGGAGGATAGGTAAAACTGCTAGAAAAGAAGCCAGCATGGTGACTGACTGGTTACCTAGGAATGTGGGGGTTTTAAATGCCAACTCGTGTAAGGACACATCCCTCTTCTCTACTGAGCAGGATCAGCAGCACCTCCTTCCCTATTCATGTGGTAAATACACCAGGTTATTGGCTATATCTGCTGCAGGCATTACACTAGGGGCAGGGAAGGAATTATCATTATAGTCTACCTTACCCCTCCTGTGACGGGGTGGTTGGTAAGGTCTCAGCAATGAATTCACTGGATGATTCTGGATGGAAAAGTTTGGGGGGGAGTTGGTTGACCCTCCCCCCAGTATTGTACAGTCCTAGCAATAAATCTGCAGAATGGAGGAACTTGGGTGGAAAAATAGGGGGAGCTAGTAAAGGCACACTCCTCTAGTTAATTATGGGAAAAAACAAGGGAGGATTTCCTGCACTGTATATGTTATCTGCTGGGTAGTCCCAGATATCTAATTATAAAGTTGTGGCCTGATTAAATCCATATTAGATATCTCCTCTCCTTCTTTCAGTATAGCCAGGCAATCCATTTAAGAGTTAGAGAAAAGGAGCATGGATTTCTCTTTCAGCTGTAAAGGGGGAAAATTCTACATTTAATTGCATGAGGAGTGTAGATTCTTGTTTCATCCACATTGCTTGTGCATGTTGTAAGACAGGAGCCTAGTTATATTCATAGTCTTTCTAGAAGGTGCATTTATTGTTAAATATTTATAGTGTGCTTATGTAATTAATCTGTTTTAAATTTATTTAGTTATTATAATTTAGACGATGTGAGCCATGACACCATGAATAAGTTCCTGTCAAACCTTGTTGAGAAATCTCTCCTTGACCTGGAATGTTCCTACTGTATTGAAATCGGGGAGGTAAGACTAATGTATACTTTCTTAAAAATCAGTCATTAAAAATACAATAAAGTTCATCTGTAATGCCAATCTGTTATTTTTCTCAGCAAAGTTTAATTTGTTTGTGTGTTGATTTAATTATCTAATTGTTACACACTTCCATAGATTTGCCCTGCAATAACCCAAAACTCCTGCAATGAGAGGACAATGGGAGACCAACTCCTGCTCATAGATCTTGAACTTTCATGTGTGTCTTCAGAAATAAAACCTCTCACAAGACTGGCTGTGCTGAGAACTGTCCAATGAAATTGGCAACTAGAATAGTGTCACGCTCTTGAACCATTTTGAAATTCCTTTTTCATCACCATGTATTTTAAAATGTAATCTTAAAATGTTTCTGCATGTTTTTTATACATTTCATGCTAAGCTTTCTTTCTCTTCTAATAGGATAACCGTAGCATTGAACCTCTGACATATGGCCGCATTGCTTCTTACTACTATTTGAAGCATCAGACTGTTAAGATGTTCAAGGAACGGTTGAAACCTGAATGCAGTATTGAAGAATTGCTCTCAGTCTTGGCAGTAAGTAGTAATTTTTTCTTTATCTTGACGTATATATTTCTTAAATCTAAAAGGCACAAATAACTTGTTGAACCAGTACATATGCATGCACATAAACAAGCGTTATTTAATAGCATTTCTACTCTTATCCTTGAAGTATTTAATGACTTTGATAGTCTTCAAAGTGTGGTAATTTTCCGTTGCCTCATGTTGAACTCTGTCACTTACCTCCTTAGCTGAATGTTAGAGAGAAATGTACAAGACACCGTAGCTAGATGTCTATCTTATCTGATGATAAAGACAAACCCCAGACTGACTAAGAGTATATTGAAGACTTTCACATGAGCAGGAATAAGGGGCAGCTGCCCCATGGCCTAGTGATGTAAAAGAGCCAAGTGCTCCCAGCCACCCCCTCCACTGCTACCTTGGCAGAAGCTGCAACCCCAGACCCTTTAAATTACTGCTGGAGCCCCCAGTGGCATGCATCCTGCAGCCCCGACAGTGATGAAAGGCTGGCTAGCTAGGGGGAGGCTTCAACATGTCAAGAAGGGTACATAACCTTCGTAGGGTACATAACCACAGGTTTCAGGTATATGTTCACTCATCTAAGCTGTGCCTCACAGTCTACAGTGCTATTTACATGTGTGCTAGCGGGGTGCAGAGCGTATGTACACTTAGTTACCTTCTCTCTCAAATAGGCAAACTTTTAAAATCTCTCTTCATATGAAATTCTTGTCATGTCTCTAATCATTGTCATTGTCCTTCTTTGGCCTTTTATTTCTGACACACATTGTATTTACTAAGGAACCCAGAAAAGTATTCAGATGAGAACATATCTTAGATTTACAATTTAAGATAATATTTACATTATTACTGTTGCTATTATTTATTTATTTATTTATTTATTTATTATATCTCCCTTTCTTAATGCAGGCTGACATTTTGTTTGTTTTTTGCCACTGTTGGGCACAAAGCTGTCCATAGTGTTGCCCATATGTTTTTCCTGAATGATTACAATTAACATAGAATCCATCATTATTTAAATTTCTCCTCCGTATGTGCATCATCTTGTACTTATCTAGACTGGACTTCATTTAACATTGTTAGCCAGTTGTGTGTCAGCCTTCAAACTTTGGAAAATTTCAGACCCAAACTTTTTGGCTGATGCCCATTCCTACATATGATTTTTGCTAACAATACAAGAGACTACAAAAATATCTGTTTGCATTTTAAAAGCTAATGAGACTAAAAATAAAATCAAACAAGATCCTAATTCTTTGATATATAAACTTGAAAAGATAAAACTGAGGAAAGGAAGTGTGGAATCCTTATTATTTTAATAATGAAAAAACTTTATAGTCTACAGTTTTGCTTATTTTCATGCAGATGTTGATTTTCTTAATTACTAGTTAAACTATTATTTCATCATTCTTTATCAAAGGTGTAAAATTAGTTTTTCACAATCAGATGCTGTCTTGAAAAGATTAGGCATTTTTAAAAAATTATCACCAAGTTTTTTTCAACACTGAATTAATGAGCTCTATAATTAAAGCAGTCACTTCACACCGCTATTGTTAACAAATAACATTACATCTGTCTTGCTCCATTGATGACCTCTTTCTACTTATTGAAACATTTAGCAGTTTTGGCACTAGGGAGTTACATGGCATGGGGTAAGTAGTCTAATTAGATGTAAGTGAAAATCCTAGGGGAAAAGGATATTTAAAAAGTAATTTGAAGAATCTTTTAATGATGCTGGCACTGAAAGCAGTAGCCTATAGTAAAAAAGGCATGTCAACATTGCAAAACATGATTATAATTTTAACTGTTCTGCTTATGTGACTTTTTAAAATTTTGACTTCCTTTGAATACATGAATTAAAGATAATTTAAACTCTGTTAAAATGTGTCCACAAAAGTCTATAGCTTTGAAGTATGTCTTTTTTATTCATTATTTTTCAGCCCTACAAACTTTAGAAAGATTAATTCTTTTGAGCGAAATGCAGCAGTCACATGTGGTGACATGGTGCAATGTAGCCATCAACCATCATTGGTATAATTGCAGTCTGGGGAAGCAGAAGTGTGACATTGTAAGAGGGAAAGAAATCAACATGAAGGTTTAGGATGTAATTTACACTGATTCATGACAAATTACCAACATGTAATTTACACAGACACTTGTTACCTAGGTGAGGTGCTTTGGCCTGTTTTATTCAGGAGGTCAAATTGGGTGACTTCTGGCCTCTAAATCAGTGATTCCACTAATGGTATTTTAAGAACTCCATTTGCCACAATTCAATATTCCATGCGTATGATGACCATTCTGAATTATACACCTAGATACCTGCAAATTATCTCGTGGTAAACTGGTTCTGGTCCTCTGAATTCATAGCATTAATAGTGTCTCTTCTCTCAAAATAGAAAGTGATTGGAAAAAGCAAGATTTTCTTCAACTTCCTTCCCTGTGACCAAAGCAATTGCTTTCCTGTGAGCCCTACACTCCATGCTCATGCCCTATTTTTGGTCATCTTCTGGGTTTCATAACATAAGAATGTCATATTGGGTCTGTCCATCTCAATATCCAGTCATCCAATAATGGGCATGGGGCATCCTTCAGAGGGAATGAACAGAACGGGTCAATTATTGAGCAATCAATTCCCAGGCATCCAGTCCCAGCTTCTAGTTTTCAGAGATGTAGGAACATTCAAAGCATCTGGATGGGGTTGTCACTAACCATCTTGGCTAATAGCTTATCCTTCAAGAACATTTTTTGATTATTTTAAACTTCACTTCTTCTTTTGGCCTTCACAGTATCTCCTGGCAATTAATTCCACAGGCTAACTGTGCATTTTTTTGTGTGTGTAGAAGTACTTTCTTATGGGTTTTTTTTTTTGAAACCTTGTACCTATTAATTTCATTAGATGATCTCCAATTCTTGTCTATGTGAAGAATTAACTGTCATTTCCCTATTCCCTTTCTCTGTACTATTCATGAATGCATAGACCTTTATCATATCTCCCTTACTATCTTAGCAAATGGACATAGGATTTATCTTTCTGCAAAGACTTCAGAGGTATTTATACTACATACAGTAAAACTCCATTAGTCCGGCATCCAATGCTCTGGGACTCCTGATGGTCCGGCACCATCAGGAACCCGGAAGTGCTGGGGCAGCCGGACAGGCTTCCCCCATTCAGCTGCTGCTGAAACTGACCAGCAGCTGAATCGGG